AATTGGAAACTACTTTTCTAATCCCAGTAAATGTATACATTATCCAACCTTGATGTAACTCCTTCAAAGGTCTTTTTTTTTTAGTGAAATGTTTTAAAGAAAGGAAATTGGAAACTACTTTTCTAATCCCAGTAAATGTATACATCATCCAATCGTCATGTAACTCCTTCAATGGTTTATTTTTAGTAAAATGTTTTAAAGAAAGGAAATTGGAAACTACTTTTCTAATCCCAGTAAATGTATACATCATCCAATCGTCATGTAACTCCTTCAATGGTTTATTTTTAGTAAAATTTTTTAAAGAAAGGAAATTGGAAACTACTTTTCTAATCCCAGTAAATGTATACATCATCCAATCTTGATGTAACTCCTTCAAAGGTCTTTTTTTTTAGTGAAATGTTTATTTTTCTAAATATTTGTTTTCCTGTTTCGTTAGATTCTGAGTGTAAGATGTGAAAGACTGTGGGCCAGGGTGCCCATATCTGCTCCTAGTGTTTAATATTTTATTCATGTCAGTATGTGGCTAGTGAGTGGAAGTTGATTTTGATAGATGGTGTAGGTCCAACTTCTAAACTCTCTCACTAGGATACATTTCTTTCATTTTCACATTTTAATTTGTACTATAGGTGTAACACTTTTGTTTGAAGTTTTTAAAACATTTTGACAGTATGTAGATGCTGCTCTGTTATCTCTCTTCTATTTAGTTGTTGAAACTAACATAACTACTGAGTTACCTTTATACATAGAGACAGATATTCTGTGGTAGTCAGTTGATTTTATAATATTTTCATTTGTGGCTCATTCACATCAAAATATCTAATAACTACTTCTAGCTCTAGCATAGCAAAGATATCAAAATTGTTTATACATATCACTAATTGGTGTTAAAATGTGTGTTTAAGTCCACAATTGTAAAACTACAATCTTATATTCATAGATAATACCCAAGTAAAACATTTTTAAAACTATACATTTCACCTGGCATTTAAAACTTTTTATCAGTAAAATTTGTTTTTGTGTCACCGTTCTCCCTGAAATTAATATTAAATTGACAGTGTGTGTTTTTGAGATAGTATGACTTGTTTGCTGTTTCTTGTGAAGGTTGTTCTATTCTGTTAACCCTCTAAACCCATAATCATTAGCAAGAATATTGTTGAATTTCCCACAGAATTGAATCAATTTTAGAAAACGAGCTAGTTTTCTCCAAGATGTCTTGTAATGTTGAACAAATTCTATTATATCTAATATAATGTGAGTGGTAACATAACTTATTGGAAATATTCATATTTGGAAATGGAAAGTTTCTAATTTCAGAGTTGAAAATGTCCTATGTTAAAACAGGTAAACTTGTATAGTAATTTAATATCTTTATCAGCACATTAAAAAACTCTTTCACTAAAAATAGAGCACAATATTTTGATTTAGATCAAACATTCAAGTTAAAAGTTTTCAATAAAATGTCTTTATATATATAAAATGTTCATTTTGGAACAATTTGCACTAAAAACAAAAAAGAAACTTTGAAAAAACACAAAACATTTTATTTACAAGGTTTGAATGTTTTGGAATACGCTCATTCGGTTTTCAGCATAATCTGAAAATCGTGTTACATAATACTACACTTTTATACGTGAAAATGAAAACCCAGAAGTGCCGTGGCACACACTTAAAATATATATATATATAAGCACAGTGTTTTCATTTTAAAAGCTATGTCACATAAATATTTTATTTTTTGTTTCAGTCAGTCACTCATTTGGCTATGGAGTGATGGATGCTGCAGCAATGGTAAAGTTGGCAAAAAACTGGAAGACGGTTCCAGAACAGAAAGTTTGTACTGTCAATGCTCGCTTCATGGATAAGTAAGCTTTTATTGAACGTAACTCTTGGTGACGTTGTTACCAACATAATATAATACATCACTATATACCAGATTTATTTATTCACTTTCTACTTCTATCTTTACCAATTTTCAGCTCTTTATGAACCTGTTGAAAAGTGTGAAATAAAACTTTTTATTCCCTTTTTTTTTCATTTGTGGTCCTTAACTTGTTTGGTTTGACGAGGTTTTTGTCCAGTATTTGCTAACTTTGTACAATGAAGAATCAAAGAATAAACAAAAAAAAACTATTTTTTGTTTTTTAGCTTGCTAAAATCAATATTGCTACATTTAATAATAATGTATGTATTTTATAATATGTTAGAATAAAATATTATTGTAACAGTTAGTTCAACAGTTATTATTTTGTCTATAATAATATTTCTTATTTTTAGGATAATTTCTCCAAAAACTCATATTGACGTTAGTCTGAACATTCGTTGTGAAAAGGTGAAATTTTTAGAACATGTACAGGCTCAGATCACGCTTTCTTCGACTAGAAGAGGCGACATCCATATTTATCTGATATCTCCAATGGGCACAAAGTAAGCTTAATTAACTTTGTTTTATACAAAAAGAAAGGTTATTAAACTTTTAAGCAAGATAGTGATTTATAATATTTATAGTTTGTATATGATACACTAAATATATTTATTTACTTGCCTAACTTTATATCCTCATATAAATAATATTATTTGTATTGTGTTTTAGAGCTGGAAAACTATCATTGAATTGATTAATGTCACAAAAATAATCAACTAATTGAAACTTCTGTCAATTACCCTTTGATGAAAATATCATCGTGATTTCTCATTTTTGATTATTCCAACTATCTAAATTTAATGAGAGTAATCAATTAGTTGAATGTAATTGAATAATTAAATTCCACTAATTGCACGGTCTATTATGTTTCTCAAGGAATTCAAAATATAATAATTACTTTTTGTTGTTTTACAATGATTAATAAAGAATTTATTTACAGTTATAAAATGTTTTTTTGACACTAAATTTCAAGCTTGATGAATAATAGCCAATAATTTGATAATTTTCACCAAAATATTTAAACATAATTTTATCATACATCATTATTATATTTTCTGTCCTCTTCTGTAAACTACTGATACTATTATTTCATTAATCCTTTGTGTATAGTATAACACTATCTGTTTTCAGCCACACAATAATGTGTTATTCATCTTGTGTCATTAGTAACAACAACAATGTTCATGCAGTATATCAGTTCAGAAAATTTGTTAACTTCTTTGTAGGATTGGTTTGTAGCCTTAAAGTGTCAAACAGAGCAGTCACTCTAACGCTACAAACCAATCCTACAAACATTCAGTGCATCGTAATATATATGACATATATATATAGTTACTTTCAGAATACAATAGACGACTTCTAAATAATTTTTGTTAGCTAATCTTCTTAAAATTTATATAATGAGGTAACATGAATAAATGAGATGGTGAAGAGGCAGTTTTTTTACTTTGTATTGGTGGTTTCTCAGGTCCACTCTTTTAGAAAGACGACCACTTGACACCTATCGTTCAGGTTTTGTGAACTGGCCATTCCTTACTGTCCACAATTGGGGTGAAAATCCCAATGGAGAGTGGAAGCTGGAGATTCATAACGAAGGACGCTTTTTTGGTACGTATGAATCATTTAGATTTATTAGATTAAAGACTGAGACTTCATAAACGTTCTTCTGTATTTAAAAATAAATTTGATATCATTTAGTCATTGTTGGTGGATTAAGATTGCTCTGATGATGCAGAAAATAAAGTGTTTATATTTGATCTTCATCCTTCTCATCCAAAATTTAACAAATAAAACTTTGTTTACAGACATTTTAAGTGTTCTTAAGCATCCTTAAAACTTACACTCCGGACTAATTATGCTTGTGAAAATGTTAGATATTACATATAGAGATAATTACAATATTTTGGTTTACACAACATATAATTTAAGGAATTTATGCATCCATCATTCCTATTCCATACACCAAACTCAATAAAACAATCACCCTGTTAATAAAGTAAAACTGTTTTACTTTATTACATAAACTCCAACCCTGCAAAAATGTATACTCATGTCCCTAGTCCTACCGTTCTTATGATTAAGTATGAAAAAAGATGATGCATTGACTCCCTTAACAATCTTTTACACTCCAATCAGACCCCCTCTAACTCTTCTTTTTTTCAAGAGAAAACAGGTTCAGAGATCTTAAGTTGTATGACGAACTTTACATCCCATGTATCATCCTAGTCGTCCTTCTCTGAACCAAATCACTGTTCTTCCTAAAGTATGGAACACAATACTCCAAATGTGGCCTAACCAAGTGACCTGTACAATGAAAGTATAACCTCTTTAGACATATATTCGATATTTC